GGGGCCACTTAACAGCCGCAGGGCCGGGAGAGAGGGAGCCCCTGCAGTGCCAGAGCAACCAGCGGCATCTCCGGGAAAGGGATCGTGCAGAAGCGGGGGGAGTCCCCTCTCACCCTCTCCCCCCATCGTGGGCAGCACTCGGGTTTGGGATTCTGGACCTGGCAAAAGCCTTCCAGAGAGATCCCACGGGAGCAAGGGTTTTGCAAGGGGTGCTGGGGTAAAATCCTGATGGAGAGGAGCTGTACCCGAAATGTGCTGCTGGAGCCGTGAGATGCTGGCAGGAGCAAGGGGGGGGGGGCCTGGGGCAGGCACTAATGGGGTTCCTGGCACCGCCTGAGGCCGAGGGTTGATGTTCTGCTGCAGCTGCACCATGGCTGCCCTGCCTCCGCTGGGCACTGCTTCCTGCCCTGGCCACATCCGAGGGAAAGGCAAGAGGCTGTTGGGGAGCAGGAGGCTGCTCCTTATCTGCTCCTGCCCCAGCCCATTCCTTCCCCAGGCTTCCTCAGGCAGGACTGGGCATGGGGCTTGCAGGATCAGGCCATGGTGGGGAGCTGGGAGGGGAGTTTGCTGGGCAGTGGGGCACAGACACCTGCAGAGAGACCCCCAAACCAGGCAGCAGTGACTCCCCACACACCCCGTGTGCACCCTCAGCCTGGGCTCTGCTACTGGACTTGGTGCTTGGCCTCAGGGCAGCCCTGCAGAAGGTGCTGCAGGACATTTGCATTTTTCCCTTGTGTGGCCAGTCCCTCCTCTCTGTTTGGACCTCTCCAGGACAAGGACTTTCCCTTTAGGATCCCTTCTGCCTCCACAGTCCTTGGTGCAGGTGGTCCCATGGTTGCGAGGGATGGACACAGTCTCACTGCCACCCATCCCCCAGGCTGGGGCTCTGGGGGCAGAAGATCAGCTCCAGGTCATCAGCTGGGACAGGAAAGGCCATGGCCACACCACGGGAATGGGGACCTGGCAGGGCCCCAGTGTCCCTCCTTGGACCCACAGTCATCACAGGGACCTGCTGCTGGGGGAGCTGCCCTGGCCTGGCCTGGAGCAGGGACATCCCCAGGACACTCAGGACAGAGGACATTCCCGGGAAGCAGTGACACACAGGGTGGTTCTTGCCAGGCACGGTGTCTGTCCTCGCCTGTCCCTGCTGTGGCCCAAGGCAGAGGTCCCGAACCTCCGGGTTGGCTTGGAGACAACTGGCACCATCCCCATCCCAACCTCCAGGGCCCCGGAGCCGGGCAGGGGTGGCTGGGGGTTCACCCTGGGTACCCTTGGGTGCAGGAGCT